CTTAAGGATTCCTGAAGGATGCCCAAGGGATGCTTAAGGATTCCCTAAGGAGCCCCTAGGGATTCTGAAGGATTCCCAAAGGCTTCCTTAGGGATTCTGAAGGATTCCCTAAGGATTCCTCCAGGAGTCCCTCGGGATTCTCAAGGATTCCCTAAGGATTCCTCCAGGAGTCCCTCGGGATTCTGAAGGATTCCCTCAGGACCCCCTACGGATTTTAAAGGAATTTTAAGGATTCCCTAAGGATTCTCTAAGGATTCCCTAGGATTCCCTAGGGATTCCCTAAGGATTCCCTAAGGATGCCCTAGGATGTTGTGTTGTGTTGTTCGCCCCCCCCCCCCCCCTTCGGACTGACCGGGGGGGCAGTGCCGGCCTTCTCCACTGTGGTGGAACCGGCGGATCCGCTCCCGCACCCCGGGGGGGCCATGCCGGCCTTAACCTTGTTGTTGCTGCTGCTGCTGTTGTTGTTCTTGTTGTTGTTGTTGGTGGTGGTGGTGTTGTTGGTGGTGTTGTTGTTGTGGTGCATCTTTGCTGGCAAACGTTCGTTGTGTCCCGTGGTACTGCCGGGAGAAGGTAGGCGGCCGAAAGGGAGGAGGAGGAGGAGGAGGATCAGGAGGAGGCCGATCATTCGAGGCTTTCCTTCCCTGGATGCTGCCGGCCGCCGGCCATGATTTGCGCCTAGACGCCCCCCTCTTGGCCGCTCCCGAAAGGGGGGAAGGGGTCCTGCGGGAAAGGGTTCCCGAGATGTTTCCCCGTCTTCGTGCTCGCGGGGCCCTCCACGGGCCCCAGGGCCGGCAGGAAGCGGCTCGGGATGAAGAGCTCGTCCAGGAGGAAGGCCCCAGTGTCCAGGACGCGTTCTTCAGGGCCCGTTCCCCCCATGCGAAAAGGTCCGGGCTCCCGGATGGGGCCCGAGCTGATGGGTTCGGAGGACCGCGCCGCATCGCCGATGCATCGGCGACGCATCGATAATCCTCAGGGATGCGTGTCTGTGTTAGCCCACTGTGTGTGTTACCCGTTCGGCCTGTGCCGGCCATCGTTGCACCACCTGCGGCGCACTGAACGGATTCGGTCTTTGGCGATGTGCGTCTTGAGGACCATCGAATGCGGCTCGATGTGGAGCCCAGTTGTCTCCGCGCCGACGTCGCCGATGCACCGCCGATTCATCGCCGATGCGGCACGCTGCTCGGACCCGATTGGGAAGACGTCTAGAAAAGGCAACAACGCCGCCACAGTTCCCTCGTTTTCGTTTTTTGTTAGCTTCACGGCTGGATTCGTTTCGACATGCATGTCAGAGCGTATCCCCAGAGAGGTTCGGGGATTTGCGGTATCGATATCTTCAGCAAGAACGGTGAGAGCAAGGATCGGTGAGAGCGTCCTGATCAGGAGCGGCCTTCTTCCAGTTCCCCATGATGCAGCGAGCACTGCAGTGTAGGATGACGATTAAGCATTTGCTTGGGATCGTGTTTGGCGCGGCGGCGCCCAGGATGATGATCATTCATCGATCATTCCCGCACCCCCCGGGCGCGCGCCTTGACTGTCGACGGGCCAGACGACGCGAAGCGGAAGCCGAAGATTCCGACATTGTTACCCGTTCCCCCCACGTTGTTTTATTGATCGCCACCTTACATTCGATATCGGCGACAGCGTTTTGGCTCAATGCCATCGTCGAAGGAGTTTGTGACGAGAGGCCGCGCGGGACGGCATCGGCAGAGGGCGGCGTGGCCGCAGCGAAGATTACGCATTCCTATAGTATCGCTTCCCCCCCTTTATTCCTCCTCCTCTGTTCGATCCGTGCCCCCATCACTATCCGTCATCACCCTCGTCGCCGTTCTCATCCCCCGCGGCCCCCATGATCATCCTGGTCATCCTCGTCCTCTTCACATCCTCCGCCCCATCCTCCTGTTCCTGCTCCTCGTCAGTTCCCCATGTAGAGTGCACCTTCCACCGCTGCTCCCACATCCCTGGCCGAGGCGTTCCACGTGTTCAAAATTTTCGTCGCCAACCCATACAAACCGCCCAAGGTGTGCCACATCCTTTATAAGAACAAGGACGGCGCCAGCGGGGCAGAGATGGGGAGTGGCGTGGGGAACGGAGGGGGGTAACGGAGAAGGAGGAACAGAGGAAGGGGAGGGTAAGGTAAGGTAAGGGGAGGGAAGGGGCGGGGAAGGAGAAGGAGGTAGGGAGAAGGGCAGTCGGGAAAGGGAGGGGCGAGGTAGAAGAGGAGAGGGCGCAACTTCAGTGTCTCGCTCCCGCAACCTTCTTCCCCGCCTTCCTGCTCATCTCCGTTCCCGGGCCCATGCCTCCCATCCTCCCCCCACCCTTCTCCATCGTTCCTCCTTGAGATTACATCCTCGCTCTCGCCTTCTCGTTTGGGACCTCCCCCGCCCCCCTTTTCTTTTGGCCCCCTTTCTCCTTCCCTCAACCCCTCCGACTATTCCAGTATACCGCCGCCCCCCGTCCTCGTCATCCGCGTTCCTCCCACCTCCCCGCCGCCCCCCTTCCCTCCTCCTCGCTCTGGCGGCTTCCGCATCCCCCGCCGGGGTGGCACAAGATCCTCGGGCGCGCTTCCGAGTCCCGTTGCCTTGGGGGCGTCTGACCTACCTACCTTCCAACCCACCCACCACCTACATGCCTACCTGCCTACCTACCTACCTACTCTCCTGCCTGCCTGCCTACCTACCTCCTACCCACCAGCGCACCCACCGACCTATCTACCGACCTACCTACCCACCCACCCACCCACCCACCCACCTAACTATATGCCCTCGCCCTCATCTCATCAAACTGCAATCCTGGTCCCCAAACCTCTGCATCGCCTGCGCGGTGCTGTCCCGCGGAGTGGCCTGGGAGGTCCCTCTCCGCCCCTGGCGCCCGTGGTGCTCGTTTGGGGCCCGCCCCCGCGCTCGCCCGTGAGGGCGCGCCTGGTCCTCGCGTCGGCGTTGGGCTGGCCGAGCCGCGCCGCGCCTCTGCGGGCCCATGCCATGCCGCCCGGCGAGGTGTGCTTTGTTGTCTACGTTCCTCCTCCCATGCCACTCCAGCGTTCCTCCTTCCGCGTTCCTCCTCCACGGCCGCCCTGGTCCTTCCCCAGGTCGCCGTTGCGTGCCCCAGGTTCTGAGTCGAGCGTGTCCCTCCACAGGAGGAGTATCCGAGAATGGTCCAACACATAGCCTGGGGGCGATGTTTCGACTGTGGTTGGCTATGCTCCATGATTTTCGACTGTTGTTCCTTCGTCGCCCAAAACCCGCCTGCAGGAGGACATGCCCGACCTAACCCGAGTTTCGGCGCGGCCCGCCGGCTCTCCGAGCGCGTTGGCGTGGGCCCTCGCTGCTGACGGGAGGCATTCAAAAGATGTTGTTGAACTTTCATTTCTGAAGAATGATTATTGCTGATCTCCCCCCCACCGGTGCACACTGTTTTTTCTCAATCAAAGGTGTGCCCCTAGACGCTCGCACCCTTTTTTTGACAGGGAAAGTCTTGATACCCAAACTGGGCCCCTGGCCCCCCGGATTACAACAGCAACGGCTCCCGCCTGAGACTTCCTCCAAATTTACCCAGGGCCCCCGCTCCCGCCCGAGACTTCCTCGCATTTTATTGAGGAATCGCGCTCTCGCTTGGGACTTCTTTACAAATTATTTAGGAATCGCTCTCCCGGCGCTCTGGAGTCGCGCTCTCGCTGGAGACGTGCTTGCAATTTGTTGAAGAATAGCAATAGCGCCCTTGCGTTGGATTTTGTTTCAAGTTGCTCAAGCGCCGCGCTCCCGACACCCAGGCACCCAGTAGTCGCGCCCATTGTGGTCCCATGTGCATGCCCTTCGTGGCCCCGCTGTCGCCGTTTGTGCCCCCCTCACTGTCTTACGTGGCCCAGTTGCTACCCTCAGTGGCCCCATCGCTGCCTTCTGTGACCCCGCATTATCTGCCCTTCGTGGCCCCCGCTCGTTCGCGCTCATCGTGGCCCCATACGCATTCCATTTGTGTCCCCGCTGCCGCCCTTCGTGGCCTTCTTCGTGTGTCCTTCGTGGCCCTGCTGTCGTTCTCTCTCGCTCTCGCTTTCGCTCGTCGTCGCCGTCGTCGTCGTCGCCGTCGTCGTCGACGTCGTCGTCGTCGTCGTGGTCGGTCCCCTGTCCGTCCCTCTTCAAGTCGGGTCGACGGTCCGCGGCCGCCCCGCCGATCAGCGCTGCCGCTGGCCAGGCCGACGGTCCGCGGCCGCCACGCCGCTTGCCGGGGCCCGGCCTGCAGGGAAGAAAGGTATACCCCCAAAAAGACGAAGAGGGCGGGTATCAAGGGTTTGGGAACTACGCGTTATTGGACACTCGAGCAGATAAGGGCGAACAGTATCAAAATGATTGTTGTTGTTGTTGTTCACGACCTTGCATTTTGCCTGTAAGGATGTACTCGAGATGTGCGTCCGCTGGCCAATTCGCTAGTTAGTGCCCCTGTTTAATTTTTCGCTGGAGAGGAGTTCGCCGCCTCGCCGCTGACGAAAGATGTACTCGCGATACGAGTCACGGCAGTGAGGAGTGGTATCAGGTAAGGGCGTGCTATGCACAGCAGCGCCGTGGCAACAGTCTCCTTCGGGAGTGAAAGAAGGACGTATGCGTACATGAATCCACGCTGGTTTCGGGAGTACGCATTGCGCGAATGTTCGTCTCACGCGGCTGGTCTTGCGGATTAGGGGGCCGAGTTCATGTACGTGGGTGTGTCTGTTCGCGCGGATCCAGAACGACGCAGCCGTAGTAAGATTTGCCCCCCTTTTCCCTCGAAGGTCTGCTGGTGGCCCTTGCAGTTCAGCTCGTCGCCCTGGTAGCTCTGCGAGAGCGTGCCTTAGTTCAATTCGTCGCCCGCGAAGTTCAGGCTGTGGTCCTCGTAGCTCAGCAGGTGGCCCTCGTAGTTGAGCCGGTGGCTCTCGAATATCTGTTCGTCGCCCTTGCAGTACAGTTCGGCGCCCTGGTAGCTCTACGGGAGGCTGTCGTAGTTCTTCGGGTTGCCCGCGAAGCTTTGGTTGTGGCCCTCGGGTCTCAGCACGTGGCCGTCGTAGATGGGTTGGTGGTTCGCGGAGGCTTGCTCATGGCCCTTGTAGTTCAGCTCGTCGTCGCCTTGGTAGATCAGCTGTGGGCTCGCGTAGTTGTGCCTGTGGTTTCGTGGCCTGCGTAGTTCAAGGTGTGCCCTCGTAGCTCTTCACGTTGCCCTCGTAGCTGGTATGATGGCTCTCGTAGCTGAGCTGGTGGCTCTCGAAGCCCTGCTCGTGGCCCCTGCAGCACACCTCGTCGCCGTCGCCCTCGTAGCTATGCTGGGCGACCTCGTAGTTCTGCACGTGGCACGCGTCGTTCAGGCTGTGCCCTCGTATTAGCAGGTGGCCTTGTTGGCTGGGATGGTGGCTCTCGGGTGAAGTTCGTGGCCCTTGCAGTTCGGCTCGTCGCCCTGATATCTCTACGGGAGGCTTTCGTAGTTCTGATTGTAGCCCGCGTAGTTCAGAAGTTGGCGCTCGTAGTTCAGCAGGTGGCCCTCGTAGATGAGCTGGTGGCTGTTGAAGCTCTATTCGTGGCCTTTGCAGTTCAGCTCGTCGTCCTGGTAGCTCTGCGAGAGGCTCTCGTAGCCTTGCTTGTGGCCCGCTGTGCGCAGATATTTGGCTCTGTAGCTCAGCAGGTGGCCCTCGTCGCCGAGCTGGTGGCTCTCGAAGCTCTGCTCGTGGCCCTTGCAGTACAGCTCGTCGTCCAGGTAGCTCGTCGGGAGGCTCTCGCAGTTTGGTGGTGGCCTTCGTAGCTCAGGGCTGTGGCCCTCGTAGTTCAGCAGGTGGCCCTGGCACTGTCAACCATGATAGTAAGGATGGGCAACCTTTCCAAACGTACCCTTGCATCCTCGCCTCCTCGGTCCATCCTTCGCCGCTTTCGCTTGTCGCGCCCCGCTCGAAAAGCTTCGAAATGGACGTTCAATGCCCTTGCATCCTTATCGCGCATCCTTACTACACTGGTTGACTGTAGCTGAACAGGTGGCACACGAAGAGATCTGCGCGTGAGCCTTGCAGTTCGGCTCGTCGCCCTCCCAGCTCTGCAGGAGGCGTTCGTAGCTCTGCTTGTGCCCCGCGTAGCTCAGGAGGTTGCTCTCGTAGCTCGGGTGGTGGTCCTCGTAGCTCTGCTTGTGGTCCTCGTAGTTCTGCTGGTGGCTCTCGTAGCTCAGCAGGTGGCCCTCGTAGTTCTGTGTCGTCCTCTGTCTTAGAGCCGTGCTCCTCGTAGTCCTCCTCGTCTGCCTTCTTGTTCTCCTCTTCGTCGTCTGACTCCTTCGCCTCCCCGTGGTCCAAGTCGGATTCGTCGACTGCCAGGTCGTAGTGCTACGACCCCCGAAGCTCAGCTGGTAGCTCCTCCTCTTCTTCCTCCTCCTCTTCCTCCGTTTCCTCCCCTTCCTTCTCCTTCCCATCTTTTCGTCGTCGTCGCGGCGGCGATTATTCTCCCTCTATTGATGGGCGGGCTGGATCATGTGGTCGTCAGTGTAGTCGCGATTATAGTCGTAATCGTCGTCGTGGTTGTAGTCGTAATCGCAGTCGTAATCGTAAGCGCCGTCGTCGTCGCCGTCGCGGCGGAAATGATTATCCTTCTATTGTTGGGTGGGCTGTATATGCTTGGGGCTTCTTCCTCCCAAGGAGTAATACTCCCTGGGCTACCCTGCACGACAGAGGAATGTTGAGAACGCTTGTCAGAGGTTTGCAATATAGATCGACGCATTCGTCGCCGAAGGCGTTGTTCACAAACTCCTCTTTCATCTCGTCGTCGTCGTTGTTGCGTGGCGGGTGCCGCGGGTGAATAATTCGTTTCCGCTAGTGGTAGGGCCCCAGTCCGTCAATCAGGTCGCCGGAACAGTCATATTTCCATTGTGTTGTTTTGGCTGGGGGGTCTGAAGACCTTTCGCGGTTACCCTCGGCCTCCGCTTCAGCAGACCTCATCTTTGACAGGACAGGTTGGTCAAGCTCCTCGAGACGTTGCGGGCGAGCAGGCCGGTTCCGCTTTGCGGCGGGGGCCTTTGCGATCGGGGGGGGGACTCTCGCCGAGTTTCCCATTTTGACGGCGCGCACACGGGTCGGGTGTTGCAATAAGTGCCCCTGGCCCAAGGTGCCCCCAGCCTCGCTCCACTCTGGAGCCCCATGGGGGCCCTCTGGGCCTCGCGGGGGGGGTGCTTTGGAGGCCGTCTGGGCCACTCCCGAGAATCCTGGGGGGCCCCTTCGGTGAGTTATCGTTTAACCGATCCCCATCCCCAGCGGCGTGGCCTGGGCCCCACTGGCCGAATTACCCCCCTGGATGGGGATATAGGTCGTTCCATTTGAGTTTCGAGGGGTGTATCCCAACTGGGGTGGTAATTTGTTGGGGGTCTCGAAAGGGATGGGGATGGGGATTGGTTAAACGATACCGATTCGGCCAGTGGCAATCCTGGCAACACCCGAAAGGGGGGATGGCGGGAACGGGGCGGCCTTCCGAGAGGCGGGGCCTTCTCTTGGAAGCTCCCCGGCTTCAAGCAGTGGCGAAGCGTCCTGGCGTGCCTATAGGTCCACCAAACAATGTTGTTTGAACATTTTTGGTTGAGACTGTCTTGTCTTAATCCACCGGGTTTCTGTTCTAAGAGCATTGTTTTTGTGTTTCGAACGTTTTTGGGTTCTAAGAACGTTCCGTGGTAGGCCTATATGAATGCCGGGACGGTCGGTCCCTGCTCAATCCTTGGAAGCCTCCAGATGGTTCGGGGGCGGCAAGGAGGATGAATGAAGACCAGGGAGGGTGGGGGCATCATGGCCGGGGCCACCTCCTCCTCCTCCTCTTACTCCTCCTCCTCCTCCTCCTCCTCCTCCTCCTCCTCCTCCTCCTCCTCCCCCTCTCCCTCCCCCTCCTCCTCATCCTTATCCTCCCCAGATGTCATGACGCCGCCTCTTCCCTCCACACGTCCCTGGCCCCTCCATTGGCCCTTCACATGCCGCTGGCCATGATCTTTACGCCCTCCCCCCTCGTTGACGCCCCCCCTCTTTGGACACCCCCTGCCCTTGCCCTCGAAGAAGCGCGCCGCCTTGGTAGAAGACCCGGCCCTCATCGCGCCCCACCCTGAGCGTCGAGCAGTGGCGAAACGTCCTGGCTTGCCTATAGGCTCACCGAAGAATGCATATCATAAGAACCTTTCTGTGGCTATCACGAAATTGCCTTAGAACCTTAGGCTGAGGCTGTCTTCTTGTCATACATCGGCACTATGGCCTAATAACATCTTAGAACATCTCTTGGTTCTAAGAGCATGTCGTGGTAGGCCTATAGGAATGCCGGGACGGTCGGTCCCTGCTCGAAGCGGGCCGCCAGCCACCCCCCCTTTTCGCAGCATGGATCGGTCGAGCTTTGAAGCCGGCTGTCTTCTTTTCTGAGCCCCGTGGGACCCCATCGTCGCCACGATTGGTTTCCCCTCGAGGTTCCGGCCAGAATGCAGCCCAGGTCGATGTATGATTCGTTCTGTCTTTCTTTCTCTTCTTTGAAGCTCTGACTCACCTTGCATCGTCGGGGGAACTTGTGTGTGCATTAAGTGGCGATAGTGTTCTGCGTCAGACGCGGTTTCGACAGGGATTCGATGTGAATTCGATTCGGATTCGACGTGCGCCGTGGATTCGATGCGGAATGCACCGAAAGTTCGGGATCGGTGTTTCTCCCCTGATGCTTTCCCCCCATTTCTTAAAGAATAACAAATCATTAGTTCACGCCGGTCGTTGAAAGCATGTATTTCCGGGGCCGTTTCACGTCAATAATCGACCTGCTTTTGCTGTGTGTTGTTATTATCTGGGAGGGCCTTATCCCAATCTGCTCTATCCGCATTCCTACTTATTGGTTTACCTACAGTGCAGACCCATGCCAAGTAACACCTTGCTTGCCTTTAGGGTGATCTGGGATTATTGGGTTTCTTGGGTTTTTGCTGTAGAGAGCGTGGCGCTCCCACCCCAAAACGGAGGGACATCCTGGGATCTTTGGTCTCTTGTGGAAGCCTCCGGAAGTTCATGCTCGTGCAGTTCAGATTGCAAGGATATTTTCTGATTAGATTTGGGGTCGAGCGAATTAGTTCTTGGGTCTCGATGTTTGTAATCTTCTCTTGCTCGCCAGTTGGCTCGTGAGCCTGTGACGGATGCCCCCTCGACCTCATCTTCGCCGTGTTCGAGTCGCTCCCCCTCGCTTCAAGGATTCTCTTGCTATGTGGGCTCTGAGCGGCACGGGGCTGGCGTGTGCCTCCTCCTCCTCATCATCATCCTCCTTGTGCTCCTCCTCCTCTCCTCCCTGCTGGCGCAACTCGGTTTGTGATCGGATGATCGCATCATCTAGTTCTCCACCTCCACCTCCTCCTCCTCCTCCTCGTCATCCTCTTGCCGCCCGATTCGCGTTTCGCCCGGATGTCGTTTCGCTTGAGTGCCTCTTCGTCGTTTCGTCCCAGCGTTGGTAGGGTCTTACGGAAGCCGTAGGGAGCTGCACAGTCGCGCGGCGTTGCGTCTTGTCCCTGGCCCGACCCCAGCCACCTCTCAGACTCCCAGCCCACCGCGGGGAGGCCTGACGATCGCCAGTTCGCAGAGGACCCGAGGGAATGTCATCGGGGGAGGGAGAGGAAGGAGAAGGATGAGGAGGAGGAAGACAGCAGGATGTGGAGAAGGTATAAGAAGACAGGGACATGACATGACAAGAGCGCTTTGAGCTGGAAAGCGGGAGTCACTTGCGTGGACATGACGATTGATTGTTGCTCAGTTTGCGCCTACCAGCAGCTACTTCTAGAAAGGCGGATAAGGACGGCCTTCCTTGGCCAACGGCGGGGCAGCTCAAGGGAACATGCCGCCCGCCAACGGCGCCGTCCATCCTCCTGTTTTGTTTCAGAAGAGCGGGAGGAGCAGGAGAGGAAATGTCTCCTCCCCCTTGTGAACCGGCTTCTGCTTGTTCTCAGGGGGAGTCAAGGCAACCAGCTCGAGCGAGCTAACGGGCACCTCCTGCTCACACCCTGCCTCCAATACCATACGGTCGAAACCGATAGTAAAGATGCGTAACCTTCCCACGGGTACCACTTGCCTCTTCGGTCCATCGGGAACCATGTTCGATGGCCAGCCCCGCTCGACGAGCTTCGGCATGGGCCTCCAAGGGGCTTGCATCCTTATCGTGCATCCTTGCTACCAGTTTTGACCTTTGGCATCCAGTGCTGGGCAGGACTGCCGCGTCAGCGGTGGCCTCGGCCGACCTGCAATGCGACGGGAGGGATTTCACACGGGGAAGATACCGAGAACATCACCCAGGCAGAACTCCGCGGGGGGTTTGGCAAGGCCCACATGCCTCTGACCAAGGGCGTGACATCCACAGCAAATAGCGCACGCTATGCCAGAATGCAGACGAACTCGGCATGGGCTTGCGCGGCGCGCCCCCCACTTGGCCAACGACAAAGGCGCTCGCGCGCACGGCCCCGCTTCCGACGACTTGACGGTAATGGGTTCCGCACGGGCGGGGGCGGAGCTCTCCGCAGATCGGTTCGCGGCGTTTTGACGAGAGCACCACTACATGTCGTTGTCGTCGCCGCCGCCGTCGCCGTCGCCGCGGCCGTTCATGCCGTCGTCGTCGTCGTCGCCGTCGTCGCCCGTTCGACGACAGGCAAACGTCCGATGGAGCTGGCGAGCGCCGGACAGACACCACACACTTCCGAGCGAGTACGGCACGTTGCTCTCTCTCTCTCTCTCTCGGGCGCGGCACCGCCTCCGACGATTGGGCGCAATGGAACAAAATATACGCAAAAGCGAGAGCGCCTCTTCATCACAAAAATGGCGCGGCGCTTGGACGAGAGCGGCATTTAGCCTGCTCGCGCGCAAGCCCCTTGCCAACGGATCGGTGGGCCGAGCATGCGGGCTGCATCAGTGAAGCTTTCATATTCAGCGTGCGCCGCGCTTGGGACTAGACCGACAGTCCGCTCCCTTGAGGGTGATGCACGCCGCGTCTAATCCGTGTCACGAATGTATGAAGGAAGAACGTCTTTGATTGCTGACTAGCTCTGTAGAATGGTAGGGCCAACTTTGGACCGCCGATGGAGCGCAAACGACGGGGTATGAGAGCATACGCACAAACTTGGTATAGCCGTCTGAAGGGGGAAAAGGGAGGAAGGGGTTGAGGAGGAGGAGGGGGGAGGAGGAGGAGGAGGAGGAGGGAGGAGGAGGAGGAGGAGGAGGAGGAGGAGGAGGAGAGGAGGAGGAGGAGGAGGGGGAGGGGAGGAGGAGGGGGAGGAGGAGGGAGGAGGAGGAGAGGAGGAGGGAGGAGGAGGAGGAGGAGGAGGGGGAGGAGGAGAGGAGAGGAGGAGGAGGGGGGGGGGAGGGGGGAGGAGGAGGAGGAGGAGGAGGGAGAGGAGGAGGAGGAGGAGGAGGAGGAGGAGAGGAAGGAGGAGGAGGAGGAGGAGCTCAAGGGCGCGCGAGGGAGCGAGCGCGGACAATCAGGAGGTGGGAGGAGGCGGAGGAGGAGAGGAGGGGGAGGAGGAGGAGGAGGAGGAGGAGGAGAGGAGGAGGAGGAGGAGAGAGGAGGAGGAGGAGGAGGAGGAGGAGGAGGAGGAGGAGGAGGAGCGAGGAGGAGGAGGAGGAGGAGGGACGAGGGAGGATGGGGGAGGGAGGAGGGTGGAGGGTGGAGGGTGGAGGGTGCAGGGAGGAGGGAGCAGGGAGCAGGGAGGCGCAGGGAGCAGGGGAGGGAAAGGATGAGGAGGAGATGGAACGGGAGGAGGAGCAGGAGAAGGAGGAGGAGGAGGAGGAAGCAGGAGAAGGGAGGGATGAGAGGATGATGAGCGAAGAGGAGGGAGTTGGTGGAGGAGGAGGAGGGGCGGAACAACGACGACGAACTCCTAGAATTCCGAGCAAGCCGTGGCCTGGACAGCGCTTTGGGAGGCGAGAGGATGCGCCCATGAGCGAGGAGGAGCGGCCAGCTCATCCTCCCTCCCTCCTCCCGTGCGTTCCTGCGTTTCTATGGGTGGGGACTGGGCCGCGCTTCCGCAGCAGGACAAGAGCACCGTGATCGGGAAGCTGCAGGCGGGGGAGCCCTCCGTGCCCTCCGCGGCGAGACGCTGTGCTTCGGCCACAGAGGAGGGGGTAAATGGGGGGAGGGGAGGGAAAGGGGATGGGGAGGGGTGAAGGTGATAATTTCTTTATTCATTGCTTTCCCTCGCCCCCCCCTCCCTCCCCCCTCCTGGGGTAGATCTTGGCTGTTGTTTGGCGGCTGTTTCGAGCGGGAGGAGTCTCCCCCATGGGGCGCATTGTTGCAAAAAGGCGCATGAAGCAGAGGTCCGGAGGAATACCCCCCTCCCCCCCTTTACGCCCAATGTCGCAACGCCGAATAAAAGAACGCTCACGAGGTTGGAGGGAGAGGAGGAAGAAGGACGAGGACGAGGACGCGGAGGGCCAGGCCGCCCCGAGCGGCGCAGGTCGCGGCCGGGGGCTGGCCCGCGGAGGGCAAGTTCGAAATGGTTCCCTTCTCCTCCCCCTCCTCCCCCTCCCCCTCCTC